AAAGAAACAAAAAGAATTCTCAAACGAAAGAAACAAAAAGAATTCTCAAACGAAAAACAAAAAGAATTCAAAAAAAGAAACAAAAAGAATTCTCAAAAGAAAGAAACAAAAAGAATTCTCAAAAGAAAGAAACAAAAAGAATTCTCAAAAGAAAGAAACAAAAAGAATTCTCTTTCTTTAAATCTAAGTATTGACTTTTTTTTTTAATCAATTCACTCCAAACAAGATAATAATACCACTAAAATACAAGGGGTTACTGAGAGCGAAAGAGAATGAAAATACTTTAGAATGAACTGGAAACAAGGGATAAACACCTTCGCTATTCAAAAGACTGACAAGGAATAAGAAAGAGATGATAGGTGAACTTATCTACTCCTACTAAAGAAAAATAAATAGTAAATAAAATTTCAGAGTTTAAGTTGAGACATTAAAAGTATAGAGCTGAAATAAATGTCAGAAGGAATTCAAAACATGGGATAAACACCTACACCTATTCAAAAGGCTGGGGAGGAATGTGGACTGGACAATAGATGAAGTTCTTTACTCCTACTGAAGAAAAATAAATAAATAGTAAATAAAATTTCAGAGTTTAGTCAGAGACATTCAAAGTATAGTTGAAAAAGTCTACAACAGAAAACACAATGCTGCTATGAATTTGCATAACAAACTGGTTTTATTACTCTTTACATTATTTATACTGCAGTAATATGTGACAAGTAGTCAAATCATTAAACATCTGGGAACTCACTAATTCTTTGGGTTATTTAGCATGCTTGATCCACCATCCTGAAAAATAGCCTTTAAAAGTCAATGAAGCTAACTTTTGTGATTATTCTCTTGTTCACAAGCTTTTCACTTTCTTCAAGAGATATGAGTGACAAAGGTTCATGCTGTACTTATAAATGTAGAATGTAAGTCATTTTGTTGATAAATTCTGGAGAAGTAACAGAAATTCTGTTTAAAGCTCTGTAAAGATTATGAAATTTGAAAATTCAATGTTATAGAATATACAAATGGATACTAAAAATTTCTGTCCTGAATAAGAGAGAGGGTGCATTTATTTCTGTGCTAGAACTTCTAAGGAGGTTTTTATAGACTAGCATATGTGCAGATTCTTTCAGATTCCATAGAGGTTGATGACTAACCTTTTTCCCTCCATACATGATCAGGCATGGTGTTTAATCACCATTTTCTTTTTCTAACCACTGAAAATATTTAGCATGTTATTTAAAAAAGGAAAAAATATTAATGCTCAGTGAGAGAGTGGCTGTAGTAGCAGTAAAGACATTGGAAAGCAATGGGAAAAACAAAAATCTTTCTTTTGCATGCTGGTTTCAAATATAGTTGGTATTAAAATACAAATATGATTATTTTAACACTTTCAATTAGGGCCAGAATTTGCTGTGTCATCATACAAGGGTGTGCTGAAAAGTTGTTAGCATGACCAAGAAGCGATTTAAAAAAAAAGTTCTGATGTTCAGGTTTTTGAAGAACTTTTCAGCCAATTTTTATATATATATATATATATATATATATATTTTTAAAGAAAATATGTATATTCAAAATAAAAAATAATAAATGGGTAAGAAAATGATATTACTGTTTTGTAAATTACTAAGGAAAAGAAAAAAATTCTTATAAATTTCTCAAAAGCATCTTTTAAGAATTGGTCATTCTCAGAGTTGAAGAAAAGCAATGTTCCTGTATCTAGCAATTCCAACTCAATTGCTACTTAATATTTTATTCCCATGCACCTAAGTGGACACAGAAGTGCGTGCAAAAATGTTGATAGCAATCATTTTATATCAAGATGTTTGATGAATCAACTGGCTTTAGAATGCTGTATGTTAATTAATGGGAAAGAAACAGAAGAGGAAGTCTAGAAGCAAAACACTTATGAAAATTTGCCACACAGTAAATAACATTTAATAGATAAACAATAATAATAAATTCATGCTTTACTTCTGCCAAATAAATCTCATTATGATAGTCATTAATTAAATTTGTAAATAAAAAAAAATTTTGAATATTTTTAAAAAGAATAATTTTCGAGCAAAATAATTATTAAAAATGAAATCAAAAATCAAGCAAAATCAAAGATATTTCAATAAAATTTGTAAGAATGTTGTGCTAACCCTCTCATGCCAACCATAACATCTGACATTAATTATAAAAATTAAATTAAAAGTATAATATTACTTACAGATTTATTAAAAAAAATAAGTGAAGTATACCTTATAAGTTTCTACTTATAACCCCCGAGCATGGTGAAGTTGGGGTGCTATACTTTAGAGGGGAGTCTACAGGAAGAACAAGAAATAATCCATTAATGCCCATTAAGAAAATAGTGCTAGATTGCTATGTGATATCCATTATCTTATTTGGCAGCAAAATGGGATGGGTGAGCATTAATGAGTTAACTAATTTGGAAAGTATGTTAGAATAATCCAGAACTCGTACTGGGAGAAAGCTACCTGCATAGAGAATAGAAAAGGAATTGAGTGTCTATACAAAAATAGAAAAGGGCATAAAACAAGGATGTGGCTTCTCCCCAGATTTATTCAACCTCTACAGCGAGGCTATTCTAAGGAAGAAGGAAACTCTACTGGATTTATTATTGGCGAGCATAATATTAATATAAGCTATGCAGATGACACTGTGTTAGTGGCTGACATAGAAAGAAAACTAAAAGAACCTTGTAGAGAAGGCAGTAAAAGAAAATGAGGAAAAAAAGAGTAACCATCAACTGTAAGAAGACAAAGAGAAAAAGTCCAAAATGTGTTAGAAATTGGTGATGTCAACATCAAACAAGTACAGAAGTTTAAATATCTGGGAAGTCTTTTAACGGAGGATGGAAAATACAACACTGAAATCTGAAATTGCATTGGACTAGCAAAAGAGGCATTCCAAAATCTAAGAAAAGTCCTGAGAAACAAAAAAAATGTCATTAGAAACAAAGAAAATAGGGCTGGATTTCTATGTGATATCCATTATCTTATTTGGCAGCAAATGCTGGACAATCTCCCCATGTACGAGGAGAAAACTGGAGGCAATAAAAATGTGGTTCTACAAAAGGATTCCAGAGAAAGAGAAAGAGAAAGGAGAGAAAGAGAAAGAGAAAGGAGAGAAAGAGAAAGAGAAAGGAGAGAAAGAGAAAGAGAAAGGAGAGAAAGAGAAAGAGAAAGGAGAGAAAGAGAAAGAGAAAGGAGAGAAAGAGAAAGAGAAAGGAGAGAAAGAGAAAGAGAAAGGAGAGAAAGAGAAAGGAGAGAAAGAGAAAGAGAAAGGAGAGAAAGAGAAAGGAAAAAAGAGAAAGAGAAAGGAAAAAAGAGAAAGAGAAAGGAAAAAAGAGAAAGAGAAAGGAAAAAGAGAAAAAGAGAAAGGAAAAAGGAAAAAAGAAATAAAAAAGGAAAAAGAAATAAAAAAGGAAAAAGAAATAAAAAAGGAAAAGAGAAATAAAAAAGGAAAAGAGAAATAAAAAAGGAAAAGAGAAATAAAAAATAAGAGTTTGTGAAAAAAAATGGCCTGAAAAAATGTAGAGAGAAAAAACATAAAAAACATGAAAAGAAAATGAAGATGAAAAAAAAAGAAAAAAATGAAGAGAGATGGGAAGTAAATAACAAAGGAAAAATTACAAATAAAATACATACAAATCTCTGAGACATTCCTGTTTCTCAGGGGTATTTTTATTTACCTCCTGCTTATTGAAACTAATCCTTGAGGTTTACAGCCTGAACCTTCCATAATCAGCCTCCTGTATATAATGCCAGCTCCTTGAATGAAATACAAGATTTGAACACTTTTCTATGGTCAAATATAAGTATTATAAGCCAGTAAATTGAATGAATAATGAAGTGAAAGAAATATAGGAGAATTTTAAGTGTTTGTTGTAATTGGTAACTTTCTGGGAATTTTGAACAGAACCCTTTATTAATCCTAGGGAGAGGTTACATTGTTCTCATTCCAGTGCCAATACTGGAGGATATCTCCCATCAGTTAATTGCATGTAGCTAATCTGTTCTGATGATATCAATTGAATCTTCAAGTGAACCAGGGTATATGAATGCTGGAAGATAGAGATTCTTGAGCAAAGGACAGCAAACTAAAAACATGGACTGAATAAAGGGCATAGTTTGAAATTCTTAAATGGTTGCTATGATTTACACCTAAAGGTAGATTGTCCAAAACATTATGACAATAAGCATCAAGATAAGGATATTAGTCGTCCAAGTAGGTTTGGTTTGTTTTACAGCATATCAACCTCAATGCCGACAAGATTTTTATTGCTAGTAATAATTTTTTTTTTCAAAAAATGTATTGATGGTAATGTTTTTTTTCCAAAAATCTGTTGCTAGTAATAATTTTTTTACAAAAATGTATTGCTAGTATAAAACCTATTTTTACACTTCTATAGTGTTTTGACCCCTGTTTGGGGGTTAACTATTTACCTGTAGTGGGGATTGTAACAGGTGGTACCACCCCAGGTCAGGGTGGATCTGGAAACACCAGCAATTAAGAGGTGGTTCCACACTTCCAAAACCTCCTGATCGGAGACCTTGCTGTCAGATATAGTCTATCGTCTTACCCAGAACGCAGATGCAGTTTATTGTCTTACTCAGGATGATCATCCAAGTAAATCAGTGATTATTAACTTAAAAGAATTTAAGAATGGAAAAAAGAGAAAGATAAATAGAAAGTAGAGAAGTGTTTGTGGGTGGGGAGAAATTGCTGGTGAAGATAGTGAGATGGAATAAAGTGAAATAATAGTGAAGGCTCAAAGATTTAAAAGATAAAGAAGGGAGGATAAAGGAATGGAGATTTAGAGGAGAAAGAGTTTGCGAAAAAAAGAAAAAAAATGTGTGGTGAGGATAATGGATAATGGCTTGGAATAAGAAATCAGAGTTTGAATTCCAGTCGGGTTCTTTATAATCACTTATGCACAAATGGGAATGACAGTTCGAGGAGCCGAGACGGGAATGACCGTTTGAGGAGCCGAGAAGGGAATGACCGTTCGAGGAGCCGAGACGGGAATGACCGTTCGAGGAGCCGAGAAGGGAATGACAGTCCCAGCAGCCGAGATGGGAATGACAGCTCAAGCAATGGAGACGGTAATGACCACTTTATTGAGAAAAAACAATAAATATCAAGATGAAAAATACTAGTTAATATTAATGATAATTAAGAATTAGCAAGATAATAACTGGCTCTTGATTTGAAGATGTTAAGATTTTAGTACTCAGGGAAACATCCATGTGGGAGTTTGTTCCACAAAGTAGCAGTACTTTAGGGAAAAATCTGTGAGTAGAAACTTCTCTTTGATAAGTTATGAAAAAGCATCTTGAATCATAATATTAAGATAGAGATTAGATTTCACAACAGTTGGGTAATGGATGAAAATAAATGTTCATTTTAAGCATTAAATTTCTTTTTGTATTAATATTTTTTCTTATTCTGAATATTCTCAGAGAAGAAATTAATCAAATGGGAATTGTGGCGAGCCGAAATTTTCTTTAATGCTGAACACAGTCCTCAACATGGTAGCAAAGATTTGTGTTGGAACGATTCTTAATTAGTTATTTCGTAATGTCTTGTTCTGCTTCAAATGCCAACAAAATTAAACTGAAATCATGGCTGACACTGCAAAACTGCAACTGACCAATTCTTCAAGTCAATTTCAAACAGAAATATGGCATTTTTCTAATTTTTGCTCAAGTCTTGTTGATTGATTCACTGATTAAGGGCAAATGTATTAATGCCAAGTGAAAAACAAAAAAATAAGTTTGGAACAAAAATAGTTAAAAAGGAATTAGAATAATTTCTTTCTGGAAAATCAAATGCATTGAATTTGCAAAGAAGAAATCAGCAGAAACAGTAACAACACAAAGAAAATATTAAATAAAAACAAAAGAAAAGCATAGGAAATATAATAAAGAGAAGGCAAGAAGATGAACAAAAAAAAAATTAGTCATGATTTTTTTTGAAAAAGTATAATAAATAATGGCAAAAAACAACATAAAAATAAGGAGGTAATAAAAGATATCAATAAAATTCACAAAAAAAAAGGGGGAATACAAAAAGAAACATATACACAAAAAGAAATGAAAACAAATGCACACAAAACACAAATCAAGGTAAATGATATGCATATTATAAATATAGAGACAAGTAAAAAAAATAAAAATAAAATAAAAACAAAGGGAAAACTTGAAAACACATGGCCGTGGATAAAATCATTGGTTGGACCCAGTAAAATAACCCAAAGAGTTCAATATCTGCTTACTGCAGTGATTAACAAAAACTTGGGGCATTGAGTTAAATGGAGATAAGTGAAACATTCAGAAGAGGCATGGCACATGAAACTAGAGCAGTCTACCTCAGTGGACGAAATAATGGTTTCAGTTTGAAATTTCAATCACCTGAAGAAGGCAGTTGTGTGAAATGTGAATATAGCAATAAAGATGAGGACAGCAGTCTGAACAATATAAATAATTACAATACCCCATCTCAGAAATATAGACAGAACTGGAAAAGTCTTTGAAAGCAAGGAGAAGACTTAAGAAAGGAAAATAAAACAGAAATTCATGAAAATAATGAAAAAACTAAGGACAAGCAAATTACAAAAAGCAACAAATAAAACAAATAAGACTGAAATACACGAGACTTGGTTGCTTTATTAGCAATAACCAAATTTTTGTCAGACAATCCGGAGTGGGTTCTTCCCACTTCATTTTCAGAGTGTTTTCCTTTCTTCATTAAGCCTTTAGCACTCTGCATTATTCACAAGTATTGTTTCTTCCACTAAATTCTTTCAGGGCCCCTTAAATATAATAGGCTCATTAACCAAGAAATTAAAACACACTATCAATACACTATTTACATTATTTGGATTTTGCCCTCATCTTTGTTGGGTCCTGTCACTGGAGTGTGAGTTCAATACCTGGTTAAGGCAGTGGAGAACTTGGAGAGGGGAATTAACAGGAGATAACTGATAACTGACATCCAGTGGAACTAGAACAGTTTATCCCAGTGAGTGAAATAAAGGGTTCAATTCGACTTTCCAACCACCTGAAGAAGGCCGGAGTGTACATTGGCCGAAACGTTGTGATAAATATGGCAACAAATAGAAAATAGTCTGAATAATGTAAATAGTGTACATAATACCTCATCTCAGAAATATACAGACACTATCAATGTTGGACAATCATTTTACTTGGTAAACAAAATCACCTTATTGTCATCAGAGTTGCTTCAACTTGAAAGTACACCACAAATCAGTGTGGTTTCTTATCAGCATGGCTACCTCATTTCCAGTCGTGCCTGTCTGTTCAGGCTCATTTGCATTGATTCAACACCTGCAGAGTGGAACTTAGTTACAATTAAAGTATGTACCCCACCAGGGCCACATATGGTTTTGAATTTAGAGTTATCCTTTTCCTAGACCGCTTGCTAACTGTAGACACAGAGTCCAATCAACCCTGCTATTTAATCCATAGCTGGAAGGAGAAGAAATGGTTTCATATCTTCCTCAAGAGTATTTGTATCAAAGTGAATGTAATAAACTCAACTGAAATTTGAACATGGCTGGCTCATTTCTTGTTTCAAACTGCTATTACACCACCTGCACATCCTCAAAGTCAGTTCAGTCTTCCTATATGTCTGGACAATCTCCTTAAAAGGAAGAAGTGTTTGGAGGCAGTGGAAATGTGGCTTTACAGAAGGATGCTGAGAATTCCATGGACTGAATATGAGTAATAAGGAAGCTTTAATGAAAACAGAAAAAAAATACTTAGAATCAGAAAGACGCAATTGAAATAGGATACATAATGATGAAAGAGAGCTTGGAGAATTTGAGACTTGTGTAAATGGATGGCAGAATAAACTGAGAGGGATGGTGAAAAGACAAACTTTACTAAGAGCTACAAAGCATAGGAAGTTGTTCTGAACAGACATTGCACATAGAAGAAAGTATTTTGTCTCCCCAACAACAAAAGGAACAGTGAATTATTTCCTCAGGCTTCATGATTAAATCCTTAGTCAAAGCTTCTGTGTTCAAACTTACTCTTAAAAGTGCCAGCATAAATCTCAGTTTAACCAACAAAGTTTGATCCATGGTACCATGAAAACTCTTAAGTAAAACATCTGTGCTTAAATAGTATTTACAGATTCCATGTCTGAATGACCAATTAGACAAAAATATTCTAAGAAAAAATTTATTTATTTATCTGGTTCACTATTGGTGACACTCACTACGATGAATGAAGCCATAAAACTCTTGCACTTAGGCTAAAAGTCTCTTCTCTCTCAAAGTTAGTCAACATCTTCTAAAATCCAAAATGTCAGCGAAGAAATATCTGATGATTGACCTTATGAACAAATAACCTTATATGACCATGTTTGTATTTTTATCCAGTGTAACAAATCAAAACATGTTGTAGCCTTTGAGAAAGTCAGCCTTTAGACCAAGACAGAATCCCCTTCTTTGGTGGGCCATTGTAAATGGAATAAAGTGCCCCAGACAAAAACAAATGAATGATCCCAGCACACAGCTGTAAGACAGTAAGGTGAAGGATAGAGTTAAGAGCATGACCACTGCGTACAAATGAAGCTATCCATACTCAGCAGACAAATACTTTTCTTTAACTTGATTTTCTTGTTCTCTTTTTCGGTCTGCTTTATTCAACTAGCTTCATTTCTTTCTTTTTAATTCCTTTATTTCTTAAGCTTTTTTCACTTCTTTTTTTCCATTCTTTCATTTTTGTTCATTTGGTATCTTATTTGAACTTTCTTTCCTTTCTTCATTTTCCCCCTTTATTTCATTTCTTTATAGCTTTCTCTTTTTTCCTCCTGTCCTTACTTTTGCTTTCATTTCAACCCTTTTTCTCAATGTTTCATCTTTTTCTTTCTTTGTCCACTTCTTTTCTTGATTTTTTATTTTATCTATTTCCTTATTTGTTTATAATATTTCTCTTTAAATTTAACTTTCTTTTTCATCCTTTTTTTAGTATTTTTTTTCTATCATTTTATTCTTTTAATTTCATACATTCATTTTTCCTTTCTTTTGTAATTAAAAATATTATTGTATTTTTATTTTTCCCCTCTTCTGTCTTTCCAGGGACCTTTATCTTTTTCACTCCATTTTACTTTTATTTCTTTTTCCTTTCATTACCATCGGATCTTCCTTCCTTCCTTCCTTTCATTACCATCGGATCTTCCTTCCTTCCTTTCATTACCATCGGATCTTCCTTCCTTCCTTCATTTCATTACCATCGGATCTTCCTTCCTTCCTTCATTTCATTACCATCGGATCTTCCTTCCTTCCTTCATTTCATTACCATCGGATCTTCCTTCATTTCATTACCATCGGATCTTCCTTCATTTCATTACCATCGGATCTTCCTTCATTTCATTACCATCGGATCTTCCTGCCTTCCTTCATTTCATTACCATCGGATCTTCCTTCCTTTCATTACCATCGGATCTTCCTTCCTTCCTTCATTTCATTACCATCGAATCTTCCTTCCTTCCTTCATTTCATTACCATCGAATCTTTCTTCTTTCCTTTCATTCTCTTTACATATATTCTACCCATTTTCTCTACTTCTTTTGCTTATTTTCCTGTTTTTATATCCAATATTTTATTTTCTTTGATTTTTTCTTTCTTTCATCTTCACCATCTTTATTTTTCTCTCAATTATATTTTTTTTTTTGTTTCTCTCCAATTCTTTATTTTTCACTTCTGCATATTCAATACTTATATTAGACTGTATGATATTTGTTTAGATAGCAATCTCCACATCACCTTCCATTATATTTTTCATTCAGTTTGGGTTAACTTTGACACAATAAATCACAAGACTCCGGTTACAATTCAAAATCCATTTTGTTGTACTACAATACGAACCATTTAGAATTCTATCCTTTTCAGTTTCCCCTTTCCTTGATAACTCCAAAAAATAACATTTCAGGAAATTCTGTCTTAAACTTTTCATCATCTTTTCTTCAGAGATGCTATTACTTTGTGAGAATAAAAGATAAAACTGAGCTTGTCATGTTTTTTGATCATTTTTATGAACATTTCAAGGATGTATTCTCAGACAGTTCAAAAATCAGTAGACAACATGCAAACTTTATCTGTAATGCTTAAATTATGAATGAACATCAAAAAATAATGTAAAATATATGGATACAGTAAAATATATATTTCTTTTTGTAGTCATACAAAAATAGTCATAGTGGAATGACAAATTACAAAAGATGCTGAAATTGAAAGTGAAGCATTTCACGTGCCATTGTTAAGCATCTTTCTATTGTTACAATCCAAACTATTATATTTTTTCAAATAAAATTGCTTAAATTATAACAAATTTGTGGAGGTATATCATGCATGCTAACATTCACAAACATAATACAACAACAAAATTATATATGAAACAGATATTGACTTGGTCGGCTGATTTTGTTCAGCAGCATAACAACCTCTGTGGTTTAATTAATGCTGAAATCTAAATATTTTGTATGCAATTTTATGCTTTTAACTACTGATATTTTACAAATAATTTTATACTTTTAGAGTAAAAGTATGTTTTTTTAGATATATCGTTTGTAGATCCAAAAATGTATTGTTGATAATTTTACTATAAAAATGTATTGTTGATATTTTTTAGAGGTTTACTATTTACCCATAGCTGGGACCCTAACAGGTGCGACCACTCTTCGAAACATAAAAGTGCTTTATTCTGTCAGTAATTTTTATTTTTATAAACGATCATTTTTCCTGATTCTCAACAGTAAACATTAAAATTCAAATAATTTCAGAAAAAATTTAAAAATCTAATGTTTAATTAAGTTTTTTCCTATTACCAAACATGTATTTATTATTAGATCAAAATGGGTAAATAAGCAGGAAGTAAAAGATGTAACAAAGAGCAAAGCATGCAAAAAAAACAAAAAAACAAAAAAAACAGGGGGCGGGGAATCGAAACATTGAATTAGAAAAGCATTTCAAACAGTTGAAGAAGCATATTGTACACAAGTAGAATTACCATCTGCCAATATAATCAAAATGTATTTTGAGCTTTTTGAAGACATCTAAAGTCTCAGCATTGAACGCCAAAAGAGGGAGAGTGTTCCACTCTTTCAGTACCCAAAAGAATATTTTTGTACAGTGCTGTTCGATAAAAGTGACTCACCTTATCCTTTGAATTTAGCTCAACTTTCATTTTATTGGAGAAGTGAACATTCTTCCAGTCTTCTACGGTGAAATTTTTGTAATAGTGAGCCCATTCAAGTCTCTTGGCTTTGTTGGATTTGCTTATTAGTGGCTTAAACTTTCGTGTACAAGATTTGTAACCTTGTTCTGACAGACTGTTGAAGAGGCAAGACTAACACCTTGCTTTTCGTTTATACTGGCTGCAATTTCTTGCCTAGTTATAGTCCTATTCTTTGCAACTTCTCTCTTGATTACCCTGACAGTTCTATCATCAATCTTTTTCTTTCGTTCCCTTGTTTCCTTTCTTGGAGCAGAAGTAGCATCATTATGTGCCCTAAGTACTTGAGAGAGAGTTGATTGCGAGGCTATAGCAATTTCTGCAATTTCTCTCGTAGACTTGCCTGCTTTTCAGAGGGCAATAATAGATGCCTTAAGTGGTTCTGAGGTGTGTTTGTACTCTTTCATGGTTAGTGACTTGAGTGGCTATTTCAAGCTGTTTTTATACTGTATAAGGCTTTCTGGAATATTCTGGAATACTCTAGATTTAATTTAAGCTGTTCTAGAATTCTCTAGAATATTGTTCTGAGTGTATTGTAAAATAGTTTTCAATATTTTGTCAAAAGCTCTTTAAATTTACCAGTTTAATCATTAGAATGTGATATCTGAGTCACTTTTTTTGCACAGAGTTTTTTCCTGAATCTCATTTATATCCAAATTTATAATTATCAATAGAATACCTTAGGGTGAATAAACTTTTTTCCTAGGTGGTCGGTAAGGGGTCTTTATATTAGTAAGATTAAAATTTATTTTATCCCCAAAAACAATAGACAAAAATATTTTCAGTAAAAAAAATCAGGTGAGTCACTTTTATTGAACAGCACTGTATATTCAGATGATGGAGCAGGGATTAAACTCATGACCACTAGATGACGGCAACTGTTGAATTGAATTCAATCCTTGAATCAGGTGGTGAAATAATGTACTCTGGTTCAGCAGGAAAACAAACAAGAAACTGGATCACAAGAACAAAATAACAATCAACATAGATCCTATATCAGTCAAAAATAATAAACACCTGAAGAGAGCCAGTTAGTACTTCACTGAAACATTATAACATCTGTAATTGTAAAGATGAGGGCATTTCAAATAAATCAAATTTGACAAATATCTGAACATGTTTTTTATTTAAACTGCCTAATAGTCACTTTTTATTGGTAATGTATTCGGATGATGAATTTGTTTGATCATATTAATTATCTAAAACTGTTCCTCATTTTGGTTTGTGGGAAATTTTGAACTACTGTTGTTTCTCCTTAAATACAATGGTGTTATCTTTTAGCTTTTATTAAAAATGCCAATTTATTCTTTTTCACATTTCAGATATTACAATTAAAATTCAAGATTATCAGTAACCTTATTTAATTTTTTCTGATCCTCTTTTTAGCTCAACAGATAGACCTTAAGAAAATGGATAACTGACTTAAACCCTTAAAATTGAAAATAGTAGCTTGCATATTATAAAATATTTTAAAATCTGAAGGGCTTATTTAATGTTATAAAATATTTTAAAATCTGAAGGGCTTATTTAATGTTATAAAATATTTTAAAATCTGAAGGGCTTATTTAATGTTTTAAAATCTGAAGGGCTTATTTAATGTTTTAAAATCTGAAGGGCTTATTTAATGTTTTAAAATCTGAAGGGCTTATTTAATGTTTTAAAATCTGAAGGGCTTATTTAATGTTTTAAAATCTGAAGGGCTTATTTAATGTTTTAAAATCTGAAGGGCTTATTTAATGTTTTAAAATCTGAAGGGCTTATTTAATGTTTTAAAATCTGAAGGGCTTATTTAATGTTTTAAAATCTGAAGGGCTTATTTAATGTTTTAAAATCTGAAGGGCTTATTTAATGTTTTAAAATCTGAAGGGCTTATTTAATGTTTTAAAATCTGAAGGGCTTATTTAATGTTTTAAAATCTGAAGGGCTTATTTAATGTTTTAAAATCTGAAGGCTTATTTAATGTTTTAAAATCTGAAGGGCTTATTTAATGTTTTAAAATCTGAAGGGCTTATTTAATGTTTTAAAATCTGAAGGGCTTATTTAATGTTTTAAAATCTGAAGGGCTTATTTAATGTTTTAAAATCTGAAGGGCTTATTTAATGTTTTAAAATCTGAAGGGCTTATTTAATGTTTTAAAATCTGAAGGGCTTATTTAATGTTTTAAAATCTGAAGGGCTTATTTAATGTTTTAAAATCTGAAGGGCTTATTTAATGTTTTAAAATCTGAAGGGCTTATTTAATGTTTTAAAATCTGAAGGGCTTATTTAATGTTTTAAAATCTGAAAGGCTTATTTAATGTTTTAAAATCTGAAGGGCTTATTTAATGTTTTAAAATCTGAAGGGCTTATTTAATGTTTTAAAATCTGAAGGGCTTATTTAATGTTTTAAAATCTGAAGGGCTTATTTAATGTTTTAAAATCTGAAGGGCTTATTTAATGTTTTAAAATCTGAAGGGCTTATTTAATGTTTTAAAATCTGAAGGGCTTATTTAATGTTTTAAAATCTGAAGGGCTTATTTAATGTTTTAAAATCTGAAGGGCTTATTTAATATTATAAAATCTGAAGGGCTTATTTAATATTATAAAATCTGAAGGGCTTATTTAATATTATAAAATCTGAAGGGCTTATTTAATATTATAAAATCTGAAGGGCTTATATGTACTGTTACCATCTACAAGTGTGGATAACTTTATTCAAAAGAATAGCCAAAGCTACTAAATTTTTTATGCATTTATTTTGGAGTGTAAAACCCTTTAAGCTAGGAATTAGTACATTTAATATGCAACACAATATAAACATACCTGATGCTACAGATTTTTCAGTGTAGGCAAAGTAATAAAAGAGAAGGAGTTTAAGAATACTACAGCATTTGTTTGAATATCAATTATTAATTTAGAATTATTTTTTCCTTTATTTTGCATAACCCTAAAACAGATACAAGTTTTAAGGAATTGTCATTGTCTTAAGTGTCATGCCCCTTCATGAGGTAAGTGATCATGGCTCTTCACAACTTTCTGTCTTTTCTTAGATGTGGTATTGTAACTATTTACATTTTTTAGACTATTGCCCTCATCTTCATTGTCATATTCTCAACGTTTTGGCTTTTATACACTCCGGCCTTCTTCAGGTGATATACATAAGAATTTTGAACCAAACCCTTTATTTCGTCCACTGGGATAGATTGTTCTAGTTCCACATGCCATGCCTTTTCTGGATATACCAGTTACAGTTATTTCCCTTTAGTAACTCAACTCTCCAAGTTTTTGTTCACCTCTGCTGACTTGACCCAAAGGGTTGTGAGTTCAATAGCTGGCCACAGCAGAGGTGATCAACAACTTGGAGAGTTGAGTTACTAAAGGGAAATAACTGAAACTGAGATATCTGGAAGAGGCATGGCATGTAGAACTAGAACAATCTACCCCGGGGGACAAAATAAAGGGTTCAGTTCGAAATCCCTGTCTTTTGTTATTCTAAGTAACTTTTGACTTTTTACCATCCTTTGTTTTGTCTTTCATTTACTCAAATTTGTCAAGTAGATTACAATATATAAAAACATGAAAGTACCTGAAAGATTAAAATATGAGGTAAGACCAGTACTGACCAAGATGAACAGGAACAAAGCAGCAGGACGTAATTAGATTATAACAGAGATGGTAACAGCTTTAGAGGATTTGGGGAATTGAAAAGATTACAGAAATAAGAAATTAAATTTATGAAAATGGGAAGACATCAGAAAACTTTAGTAGATCCATCTTTGTAGCATTGCCTAAGAAGCCAGATGCAAAGGAACTTGAGCTCTATCAGACAATCAACTAAGTTTATCTAGATTCTGATGAATAGAACACATAGCAAAATTAGACAGCAAATAGAACAAGGAACGTGATAATTATGATCAAAATTATATCAGAATGAGCAATACAAATGTAGAGGGACATATACCTATGCTTTATAGGCTATGCAAAAACATTTGATAAGATATAACACAAAATCTATTTGAACTGCTAGGGAAGCTTTATTTGGGAAAAATATTAGAATAATGTGAAACATCTACTGGGAATGAACCATCTGTATTTGGACAGAAAATGAATTGAATAAATTCACAAAAATAGAAAGAGGTTAAGACAAAGATATCTTCTCACTGGATTTATTTAACCTTTACAGCAAAGTGATCCTTAAAGAACTAGAAGACCTACCAAAATTTTTGGTGGGCAGAGTCTTAACACCCGATACACAGATGATATTATGTTGATGGCAGACATAGAAAGAAAACTCCTAGACAAGGTAGTTTAGGGAAGAAAATACTAATCATCAACTATAAGAAGATGGAATGTATGCTCTCAGCAAGAGGAAGAGTGCAAGATGCAAGCTATGAACTGGAGTTTCAAGCAAGTACAGAAGTTTAACTATCTGGAAAGTGTTACAACAGACAATTGAAAATGTGAGACTGAAATCTGAAGGCAGACAGTGACAGATGTCTTCCAAAAGCTAAGCAAAATATAAAGAAGCAACACAATTTCATTAGAAACAAAGAAGAGTGTGTTGTATGACTATATAACATTAATGCTCTTATATGGCAGGTGAATGCTGGAAAATTTCCCTACAGATGAAGAGAAGACTTGAGGCAATGAAGATGTGGATCTACAGAAGAATGCTGAGGATACCATGATCAGAGCATGTGTGCAAAGTTTTAAAGAAAATGGAGACAAAACACTTAGAACCAGAGAGTGTTAAAGTTCATGGAGGCACTGTGAGGAAAGTGGACTAAGAGAATTTGACACTTACAGGACATTAAAAACAGATAAACAGTGAGAAAACTACCTAACAAGTTTTTGCAAACAGATGGCAAAACAGAGATGGGGAGGGATAGTAAAAAAACGGATAGGAAGTTGTGGAGAGCCACAATCGCTTAAGTCTTGAAGAGAAAAGAACATAAAAGAAGGTTACTTCTTGTGTCCCCCCCCTACCTGCTTCTTCTGCCTTCAAAAGATCCTGTGTGTGTTAAATTCTCCAAGTCCTCTTTATGGTGGTTCCAGAAATGTTGGCTTTATCTGACTAGGAATATCAGTATAAGGAGTCTATATAATAACAAAATCTTCTGGTGATGATGATCGTCAATGTAACATGTCCCTTCAGACAATAGGCAACCATGGTTTTCCATAACTTCCCATCCTTTGTAGGCCTTAGTAAAGTTTGTATTTTTGCTAAATCTCTTAGTTCCTGTTGTCAATCATTTACATAAGCTTTTTAGGTAGGTTATGTGCTTCTTTCCTTTGTCCCCTCTTGCCTTCAACATGTCCCAAGCCCTCTTTCCTTTGTCCCCTCTTGCCTTCAACATGTCCCAAGCCCTCTTTCCTTTGTCCCCTCTTGCCTTCAACATGTCCCAAGCCCTCACTATATGTACACCAGGAATTTTCACTCTCTGATGTTATGTATCATTTTGTTTTCATTTTCACCAAAACTTGCTTACATGTTCAGTCCATGGTATTCTCAACATCTTTCTGTAGAACCACATTTCTGTTGTATCAAGTTGCTTCTAAATCTGTGAGGAGATGGCCCAGCATTCACTGCCAAATAAGAGTACTGATATTACATAACAGTTCAGTATTCTTTTCTTTGCTTCCAATGAAATTTTCCTGTTTCTGAATCAGTGTGTTTTTTTTTTTTTTGCTGGGCTGGCAAATTCCTTAATCAGAAATGGGGAAAACCAACGATATACCTGAACATGCTACCGAAAGAATACAGAATCATCTTTCTTTACCTGTCAGCCCATCCCTTCTCTGATGTCGCTTATGTGGAGAAATGTCAAGGAGAAACGGGGAAGAATGGTAAAATGATCACAGTTTGTATATTTGCAGACAGTAATGAATACAGTTGAAATGTCTGACAACAAGAATCGAGTTAAAAAGCGAGAAACAATGAAGAGAATAGGGCTACATGCTAGAGGTCAAAGAGTGGATTCATGTGAATAGAAAAGGGATATTTGATTAGGAAAAAGAAAAAGAAGAAGGAATTGACGAAATGGAAACAAGAAGTATAGTGTGTAATATAAAAGGACAGATGAAGAAATAAAGATAAAAAAGCAATAAAAAAAGGAAAGAAAAGACAGAGGACATAAGAAAAGGAATGCTAAAGATATGATTGGTTACTAAAGTACGGTAAACGATGACGAAAGGATAAAGAGGGTACTCGTAAGTAGAAACTATTAAAAAGGCAATAGAACGAATGAACACTGAGAAATGATAGCAAAGGAGAAATAAAAAGAAAATAGAAAATAACTGAAGGAGTTACTTTCATTGATGAGAGATAGTGAACATACTATAGAAGAGAATGAGAAAGAAAAACAAGTGAATATTTGATTCCGAGCTATACGAATTTAACCTTGCAAAAAAAAAAAAAAAAAAAAGGAAGGAACTTGTACTAGACGAAGCTAAGATTAGCAAACATTAAAAATATATATATATATATATATATATATATATATATATATATATATATATATATAAAAAAAATTGAAAGAAAAAAAAACGATTAACAAGTCAAAAATGGACGGGATGGGAAGGAAGAACAGTACCAAAAGACGTTAGAGGTTGGCGAAAGGAAAAGGAAGAGATGGGAGAAAAAGAGAAAACAAACGCTAAATCGAAATGAGACAGACAGACAGAAAGACAGACAAAAAGAAAGACAGACAGACAGAAAGACAGACAGACAGAAAGACAGACAGACAGAAAGACAGACAGACAGACAGACAGACAAAAAGAAAGACAGACAAAAAGAAAGACAGACAAAAAGAAAGACAGACAAAAAGAAAGACAGACAAAAAGAAAGACAGACAGACAGACAAAAAGAAAGACAGACAGACAAAAAAAAAGACAGACAGACAGACAAAAGACAAAGACAGACAGACAAAAAACAGACAGACAGACAAAAGACAGACAGACAGACAAAAAGACAGACAGACAGACAAAAGACAGACAGAAGACAGACAGAAAAAGACAGACAGACAGACAGACAAAAAGACAGACAGACAGACAGACAAAAAAGACAGACAGACAGACAGACAAAGGACAGACAGACAGACAGACAGACAAAAAAGACAGACAGACAGACAGACAAAAGACAGACAAAAAGACAGACAGACAGACAAAAAGACAGACAGACAGACAAAAAGACAGACAGACAGACAGACAAAAAGACAGACAGACAGACAGACAAAAAGACAGACAGACAGACAGACAAAAAGACAGACAGACAGACAGACAAAAAGACAGACAGACAGACAGACAAAAAAAACAGACAGACAGACAGACAAAAAGACAGACAGACAGACAAAAAACAGACAGACAGACAGACAAAAAGAAAGAAAGAAAGACAAAAAGAAAGAAAGAAAGACAAAAAGAAAGAAAGAAAGACAAAAAGAAAGAAAGAAAGACAAAAAGAAAGAAAGAAAGACAAAAAGAAAGAAAGAAAGACAAAAAGACAGACAAAAAAGACAAAAAAATATGAAAGACAAAAAAAAAAAAAATGAAAGACAAATGTCGAGGAGAGAGAAAAGAAAGAGAACAGAGATGAATAGAACAATGAGTGAAAGCGTGCAGATAATGAATAAAAAGTGGGGCGGAGAGAACAAAATTAGCGTGTAAAGAGATTACAGCAGCAGTTGTTTCCCACAGTGTCAATTAGTAATTATTTCAAGACACGCAGGCACATGTGCGTCTCATTAATACCATGTAACTCAGCTACCCAGGGTCTATCAGGATGGAATCGGAACGCACACCCCTAAACCTTTCCCTCACATCAAATATCTGGTCATCCGAAGCAGAAATAAGATGGGCAATCTCCTGACCCCAAATCCATTCTTGTGAATTATTTATTCCCAAGATAATATTTCTTTTTGGTGAGGAACCCGACTGTCACTGCCAAATAATTTTCAACGCAAAATCAGTGACCCTTCCAACTTAAATCGTTTGCAGATTTAAAAACGACACAAGTGGATTAGTGGTCAGAAGGCATGAAATAATACCCGGGGTGCTAGTCCAGTAACGCTCTTTAGCACGAATTTAGAAAAGTTCACAAAAGAAAAAGTTCTAATTCAAACACGGCCAAAATAAAATAAAAATCCTATTATTAACGAACAAGTAGAGAGACACGGTGGAGAAATGGATAGTGACTCGGATTGAGGAATTGGAGAGCTGAGTTCGAATTCTAGACGAATCAATTACATCCTCTTCTTCTACCCCAGTTATGGGTAAATAGCAGGACAGACCGGGTTCTGCATCCTTGGATGGCAACTGGTCTACCGCAGAAAAAATCTGCCTCGTCAGTCATATATCGAAAGATTGCCTAAGCGTGGATCAGGCAAATCGAGAAATCTGTTTTTTTTTAAATAATTTTAGTTTGTAAAAATTTGCACAATCGATATTCAATAATTTTGATTCATAAATCCATGGATTGTTCATCAAATCACTCCAGTTCGTTGTTTTTGTTTAGCGGCATATCAACCTCTGTGGATGGTTATTTAATGCCGAAATCGAAATATTTTGTACGCAATTTTACTTTATTTTTTCGGGAGATAATAATGGTTTAATGATACAAGTCTTACTCATTAACCCATAGCTGGGAGGAGAAGAGGTGGATTCATTGTTTTCCCAAGCGTATTTGCACATAAGTGAATATAACAAAACCAACCAGACTCGGCTTTTTGATTTCCAATTCTGAGCCATTATCCGTTACGCCATCCGCAAATTTATAGCACATACAATTCCCAAGCGGTTACCCATCTAGGTACTGCGGGCAACCATATATTTTTCCCCGGTTCGATAAACTGAAAATCTGAATAAACGCCCTTATCTAATATAGGGGGTTGTTAAACCATCGAGCGATATATTAGGTCTTTTGTGTGAAAATGTTTCGATTAAAGAAACTAGCAGAAAAAAGAAATTAATAAAAGCCAACGAAAGAAAAAAGAAAACGTTTATTCTATGTTTATCTCCTAAGGTTCGTACAAATTTAAAAGGACTTCAAAATGCGTTTTTTTTTTTTATGCCAAGAAGTCCGCAATCACGGTTCTTCACAGCACTTTTTTTTTTTATTAATTTTGAACTGCTATGGCTTATTGGAAAAATAGTGCCTCTGTTGCCTTAATACCTTCCTCAATGGCATCTGTACGAAAGTCAACAAAACAGATGAGGCAAGAATTTGAACTCGGCTCGCCAATTCTATTTTCCACACCGATAGCCGTAAAAAATAGAAAACAAAAATGGTTTTTACCCGAGTACAGTAAAATAACTGACAGGGAATGCGTTAGTAGAATTACGAAGTCGTGGAAAAAGAATAAAAACTTTCATGAAGCAAATATGTCAGATTGTCAAAAAGATCACGTTTTCAAATGATTTTTTTTTAATATATTTGGTTAAAAAAATATAAACCATTCGAACAGCAACAGTCCATAAATGCTTGTAGCTATATCAAATCTACGCACATCCTTTACTACCAGATCAACTTTAGAAGAGTATACCTAATAGTATGAGTAAAATCAATATGGCATTTCAAAAGATAATTGTGAAAACTAATCTTTTAATGTCAAAATTTTTTAGATGAATTATTATTCTTATATGCCTTTCTGAAATGTGGTTCTACAGAAGGATGCTGAGAATAGACGGAGAGTGTAAACAATGAAGAAATCTTAAGGGAAATGTTAACAAAAAGGACACTTAGACACAGAATCAGAAAGAGAGCTGACATTTCTTTAATACTGTTGATATTTAACCTATTTAAGTTTGTTCGAAAAGATAAGTAATTACCGCTGTAGAAAAAAAGGATAATTTAGTGACGTGACACGGAGTGAGAAAAAAAACGAAACTAAACTTTTGTTATTTAAACCTTTTATGAGTATAACAAGAAAATAGAAAGGAAGAAGATTTACAATAATAGTGTTGAAAAAATAATATTTTGCGGACTTGTCACAGAAAAGAAACGTCCTGTTAATAGTTCTTTGAGGTCTTGTGATTTCTTGTTGTGGTGGTGGTGCGCGGCAATGTCTAGGCGTCCGGACGTCCTGAGGATTGAGAAGATATTTCTTCACGTGGAGTAGGCGCTACATTCCTGGATTCCACAGATCTGTTAGTAAGTTGTTTTTTTGTTTTTTGTTTTCCGAGAGCAGTGTTTTTGTATGTGCTACTCGTTGAAAGCCAACGTGGGAAAGAGGAACAAAGATTCAAACATGGTGCACAGATCGAGACGAAACAACTTCAGTAAGAGGTCTTCTGATTGGTTCCTTTCAGCCAGTCACAGGGATCGTAGTAACAATGCCCAGGGGTCAGTTCAAAGGTGGGTTACTCCGAAAGACTCGTAATAATTTCAATAATACATAATGAAGAATAAGGGCTTAGAGAATTTGACATATCAAAGGCAAGAGAGACAACGAGAGAAAGCAGACCACCTAACTGACCAGTGAATAGATAACGGAACGGGGTGGATAGGAGTGATAGCAAAAAGACAAGCGTTACTAAGAGCTTCAGGAACAGGAAGTTGCGGAGAGCCATGATCAGCCACCTCCTGAAAGATACAGCACATAGAAAAAGGAATATCTTTCTATTCGGGCCAACAACGAAGATGTGTATACAAGTCCGAATATAAACATATATAATAAATTGTCTATTGTACGAATTTAAGCAGGTACAAGAGCAGCAGAAACAACCCGGAAACCCGGAAAACATGCATTGGATTCGATAAAGGTGAAGTTAGTGACTATTGTTCAAAGGTGGTTCAGGAGGCTTCCAGCGCCTCGTAAATTTAAAAATGGTTTTGACAGATGACGGGACATGTTGGAATAGCAAAAGGTGTGTTTCAAGATTAAACAAAATTTTGTCAGAAACAAAGAAAGAGAGTGTAATATCAATTCTTCAATGTATTGCAGTGAATGTTGGCCAATTTCTTTATAGATGAAGAGGAGACTTCAGGCAACTGGATGATGCTGAGAATTCCATAGGCGGAGCATACGAGCAATGTGGATGTTTTAAGGAAAATGGAAATGAAAATGACACTTTTACTTTGAATCCGAAAGAGACAATTGAAGTTTCCTGGACACAATGAGGAAAGAAGACTTGGAAAACTGTAAATTCACAAGATATATTGAAGGAAAGAGCGGCAGATGGAAACAGAGTAGACTACCTAATGACCTTGAGTAATGGATAGAACAAGGACTAGGAAGATAGTATGATGACAAACATTAAGTGCCATAAAGTATAGGACGTTGTGAAGAGCCATGATCGTCCACAGGCTGAAAAAGCACAAACATAAAAGAAGGAAGGAAAGACAGCCAATAAATCTCTAGATGCTGAAGAAAGACGTTGAATCTCAACTGCTTCAAAAGTATCAGATATTTGCACTGAAGCTGAACGAAAACGAATAAACAAGACGAGTGTGTAACTTGCACATCATGGTAAAAAAATAATACACATAAGGAGAATCAGTGCATGTCCTACGAATGCAGCGAACGAAACAATCTGCAACGAAGGACCATATGCGGGTTTCTTTCTTTTTTATGTCGAAAGGACGAACGATTTTGGAAATATTGATCTACGACGAGAGAATGCGTCATGTACGACAAATGAAAACAGTCACATACATGGCTACGGTAGATATGAAAAATAAAACTCGATATATCAGACTAATAATAGGTTATTGAATGGCAAAAAATAAAAAAAAAAAAAAAAATGGCCCTATGTTGTTTCGTACTTCGAAAAGACGTCTTCAGACTAACGTTTTTTTTTCTTTTGTTTTTTTTTTTAAGGAACGAAATGCAACAGACACCGGTTACAATTCCACATTGAGGAAACGCCGAAGATATAAGAATGCTTAACTTTAAATAAAAATTTTAAAATTTAAATCTTTCTTGTCCGATATATTTGCATAACATAGCCGACTTTTCTTTTTGTTGCTTTATCTGGTCATTTCTTAAGTGAAGCTTTTTTAAAATTTTTTCTACACGATGTTTGATTTCTTCTATGTAAAACAAAACAAAAACACCAAAAGACAAACTTTTCTGTTTTTAGCAGGTAGCAAATAGGTTGCATCAACAAATACTATTATTACTGATTACAATCCAATTCTTTGAACGAATATTTGATCAGTTTCATTTGATTTGAAAGAAATATACCTCCAGACAAGAAATCAAAGTGTATTCCGTTTTTCAATATTGGGAACCACTTTTAAGCCAAATCTGTCTTACCAAGTAAGTTTCAGGAAGCCAACATGACAAAGCAAATTTCATTTATTGGGACCTTTCAAAGTCGATATGTTAACAACTTATAACAGTTCCTCTCATGATAAAAAATATAATTTGGATATTAGCCATACTACCACTACTCATTCACGCAGATAAACTTGCCACTTGTTCTACCAAAGTTCTAAAAATCAACATGAACTCTTTAAAAATATTTTTTTAACTTTATTTGTTTATCTTATGCAAAATTCTTGTTCATGTAGTTTCGCTTGTTTATCTATAATTTTGATTTATAGTATTCTATTTGAAAATTGAAAAAAAAACAAAACAAAAAACAACACAATTCAGATTAAAATAAACAAACTTTGCCAGATGAATTGTTCAAACGAATTTGTGGACTCGTCCAATCATCCTTACCTTTCTAACCCTAACAAAAGCAGAATCCACATCGTA